ATTCAGGGTCATGGTTAAGCTTGATTGCGTGGTTCCAAAATATATTTATAATCAAAAATAATGGCAATTTGGCAAAAAATGGTATTATTTGATTATTATCCATGGAACTTTAGCGAGTTATTTTTATTCAGCAAGATAAAAGCGTACGTTTTTGGAACTCAACTCAACAACAGTTCCAGACAACCTGAGCTGATCCCAAACATTTTCTCAAAGATTTCTTGATTCAGACCTTTTTGCTTTTTTCAAAAAAGTAAGGTTTTCAGGTAGTTTTCTTCAAAATTAAGAGTTTTTTTATTAAAGATTTATAAAACGAGGCAGTTTTGATTTTCCTCGACGAACAATTGCATAAACGATTCAGAACATTTGAAATTTGGGCAATTAAAAAACGTATTCTATCAGTGATGACTAAATATTCTTCTTTTATCCCGTTTCCCCTTGTTTTCACTCTTCATCTCACATACCGTCATTTAGTCTCCTGTTTTTTTTTCAAACCTAATGAGTCTCACCCCAAGAACATTAAACTTTCTTTTTGAGCCTTATTTGCCAAAAAACAGTAGAACTATAGCTCAAAAAAGCGCAAAACATGTGCATCACTAATTGTGCATAAGTTTTGAGAATAGACCTTCACTAGTCATTCTGCCTTTGAATTTGAAATTATACCACAATATGCACAGACTAAAAACGATCATCTAAGGTTTCTTTTTTGAAGAACAGAAAATTTATGAAGAAAAAACTCGAAGTATAAATATTACAACGAGATTATCGATCGAAAAACTATAGGCTTTAGAAATATTTTCCTTGAAACCAAATTTTTATAATTTCTCATTAAGTAAATGTTTTCTGATTATTTTTTGGCCTTTTTGGATGGTTGGACATAAAAATTGAAACACAAAAAGTGGCACGGGCGGAAATCTCGCCTAGTCGTGTTCTCAAACTAAAACACTTGGTACCAAACTATTCAGAGACTGCAAGTCTTGTATGCCAGCAACATTTATCGATTATAACTTGAAAAATAGTACCAAACAAATAAATGAACAAACATTGCAAAAGGTTAACATAAGTTCAGCCAGATAGTTTTTTAAAAAATTCCAGTGTTTTCTTATACATAAATTTTGCCGCGAAAGGGTTTATGCAGTAGCCGGTAGTTTTTTTTACAATATAATTTTTAAAACTACTATGTGCGCTTCTATCCAATGCAATCCTCTTCTATAATAGCGAATTTAAATTTTTGTAAAAAAGAGTTCTTAACCAGATTTTCAAATTGATGATTGGGTTTTGCTAAAGTACAAAAATTACGATAGTGCCAGCATGCAACGGAGTTATATGTTCTTTTTGTTCTGTTTAAGGCAGCTGATTGCTGCTTCCATGCGACGTGGTGAGCAGAAAAAATCGAGATAGGATATGTTTTTTTCGTGACTTGAACCAAAAATGAGATACTACAAGTCATCCGTTCAAACTACCGGGCCAGTCATCAAGGAAAACAATCCATTTGTAATCACTGTGACCATTGCCAACTTGTAAATTTTTTTGAAACAATATGATAATTGTGCTTCTTCAGCTGTTAGAGTAACATCGATGTCTCTGGGCTTACGATTATTCATGCTCATTGATCGTGCTGATTTTTGGTTTCAATTAAGTCTAATCAGCTAATTTTTGTTTTAATTTCTGAAAAAGTCGTTCTTTATTATTTCACCAATAACAGATCAAAGCCGGGTTGAGTTTTTTCCAATTCGGGACAATCTTTGGAGTTTTTACATACCAGGCGATGTGGTGAGAACACAATATCTACTTGTGACCTGTTTTTTTTTAGACTAAAGCAGTATTTAGGCTAGGGTATGATTGCCCTATTTTTTGAACACCTTTGTTGAGTTTATCAAATGCAAGCCTTGTTGTCAACTTTAGCAAAGAGTGCATATAATACCAATAGAGGTGAGGCAACAATTCGTAACAGGCGACAATTCGCCTGTTACGACACCAGCTTTGAATAGCACCAGCTATGACAACAGCTATGAAATTAGACACCAGCTGTGATATTATTCTGTTTCTGTTTCCGTGCTGATATTGCAGAAGATGCAATGTCAGCAAAACTGACCTCAATCGAGTATAGCTCGTGAAACTAAATAAGTTTCATTCAAAAAATTTTAATGAACAGCGGTTATTTCAAATTTCCAAGGTAGTTAGAGAAAAAAGCTACATTCCGAGCAAAGTTTTTATTGCTTCTTTTTAAATTTGGAAACTAAAAATCCATATGTACACACCACGTGATGCATCTGTTGCTGCTCGCAAAGTTAAAAATGTCTAATTTTCATTAGTAAAATTTGAGAAAATTTCACTATATTGTGAATTTTGCTCGGTCAATATTTTTTCAGGCATTCAAAAATTGCAATTAACAAACGACTTTAGAATTAGCTGACCGAATAAACTACAAGTCAACAGTTTAAACTCTTAGGCCAAAGTCTCCAAGGAAAAACAATTCAATTGTATTCCCTATGTCCGCTGTCAAATTGTAAAAAAAATGATGAAAAGTAAGAAACATTTATGGGTTTTCTGGATTTTCAAAAGTTCTGGTAACTTGTAAAAATAATAACCTGATTTCAAGTTGCTTCTTAATACCCTATCATAATTTTGCTATCATTGTCAAGTTTGATGTACGCGTTTTGAGGTGTGTGAGTTGAATTAATCTCAGTTTATTTCTTTGTTATTCATGAAGTATAATATTAACTTTTATAAATTTGGAGTAGACGCCTAGTGGGCACATTATGTGGCCTTTATCTGGACTTTGCATCGGGAGTTTTCACTTTTTCAAATTAATTGTTCCGACTTTCGTAACGAAACCCGCATCCAATTTCAAGCGTTAATAATTGAATATATTACGATTTTAGTAACAGTTTTACTAAAATTGAGAAACAATCGATTCTAATCAATTAATAATCAATTATAATCTCTCTTTTTAAAATCAAATTATAAATAATTATAATCCAGTATAGTCAATTATAATCGATTATTCATTCGTCTATTTTTCGTTATATTTATAATCGATTGTAATTGATTATAATCCATTATTTTTGTTCAAATTTCTTTAGTTTTGCACAAAAATCCATTATAATCAATTATAATTGATTATAATCCCTTTTGTTTGTCCATTTTGTCTTCAAAGTTGCATCTAAATTGCTTATATGGTTTCTATGAAAATAAAGGTTTTTTTGTAAAGTTTTCCAATTAATTCAAATTTATAAGTTTTTTTCTTTTCTTCCCCATTAGTATTGTTTTGTGATGCATATTTAAAGCTTTTTTAAACATCAAAACATCAGCAAAATAAATTAGTTTCATGTTTGATTCGGAACATTTAGTTTTCATTTACCGCGGGAACTTTTCCACTCATATGAAGGATCTCTATGAAATTTTTGTTGCGTGGTAAGACTTTGTGTTCAGATGAACCAAAATGTTCAAGAGATCTCTCTTTTAGAGATTTTCTTATTGGCACAAAAATAATAACTCATAAAATATAATTCGAATATAGTTTTGAATTGACACAATTTTGGCAAAATAAGAGATAATAATCGGTTATAATCGATTATAATTAATTTTAAGGGTTTTTTGTAAGAACTATAATCAATTATAATCGATTATAAGAGATTATGAACTCTTGAAAAATATCACAATTATAATCAATTATAAATCCTTTAAACACCTAACTTTGGTAATTATAATCAATTATAATTGTCAAAAATCATCATAACAATCCGTTATAATCGATTACTTACGCCTAAACTTGGATGCGGGAAGTAACGGAATTTTGTGCTCGGGTGAGTTTTTTTTTCTTCAGACAAATTTCGACTTTTTAACTAGCTAATTTTGACGGAATTTTTAAAAAATCTATCGAAAGCTATTGTTGTCCTGAGTTTAAATTTGAAAAGATATTTCACCTGTGATTGTTTTTCTTAAAGTTATGGGGGTTTAAAGGTTGCCATTATGGCCAACTTAAGACAATTAACGCGCGATATATTTCGCGCTATTAACGCGTAAGCGAGATTTAATCCGTATTAGAAATCGTTCCAAATTGATTCCAGGAAGCTTATATGTCATAATTGATTTGTTAATAGAATCGAAATCTATCACTTTGTACTTAATATGGCATGTGGGGGGATGTTTTCACAAAAATTTCTCACCTTTTTAAAATTAATAATAATTTTATTTTATTACATTTAAATTTTTCATGTTTCTGCTGCTCCATAGACCTTAAAAGGCAGTCGGAACATTCAGGATTTTGCCCTGATACGAGCAGTCTTATTATATTATGAGTTGATTCTGTTACTTGATTGTATTTTTTCTTAACTGTTGGATAAATAATTTCTATCTTTCTATATTATTTCGTTGATACATTCGTTGATACATTATTGTAGAAATAGTCGTGTAAAAGCTCATCTCTGATTCACGAAACTGTTTGTGCTACTGCAGCTGTTGGAGTAACACTGAGGTTATGGGTTTACGATTTTTCATACCAAAATTGTGCTCATTTATGGTTTCAATCAGGTTTTATCTGCTAGTTTTTGGTTTCCTATTTCCGGTACAGTGATTTTTATCATTATACTAATTACAGATCAAAGCCAGGTTGAATTTTTTAAAATCGGGAGAAATATTAAATTGTCAGAGGGCAAAAAACTATCAAGGGGCTGAATATATAGGACGTGAAATACTGAAGAGAGAAATTGGAGGACAAAGTTTTCAGTTAATCTAAAAATCGAGATGCAGAAGATGTTAACATGTCGATCTGTTGAACAATAATGCTTTTCGATTTCACTAATCAAAAGTTAGAGCATTTCATTTAGATCTTATATCTACCCGAAAAGCTAAGAAGTTTTTAACTTTACTCAGTTGACTGGGTAAGGAAATACAGAAACAATTGAGTTTTGTCTGAACTAGTCTGTTTGAAACCAAATTAATCTAAATGCTCAATAAAAGCTTTTTTTTCTGATTGTGTTAATTCAAGAATTGTTTTGTATGCAATGTGCAAGTCGGGTCAAATAAATTACAGTAATATCTGCTGTATAACTTCTTCGACAAACATGAAATTTTCACAGTGATTCAATAACAAGCGGTGGGAATCTTTATGGGAACTCAAAAATATGCAATATTCGAAAACTTTATACCATTTTTTTTGAATTGAGAACTTTTTGGGATCTAATTAATGATTTCCCTAACTATTTAACTATGGCTCATAATAGCGATTATCTATCCCTATCAAGGATCAATTTAACAGTCAAGTATATGCGAGTTTCGCACATAGTAAGGTATCCCCCTTTGTCTTAGGTAGGGAGGTAGTTGCAGAGATCACTTTTTGTCTGAATTGTTGATCATGTTGTTGTCATCTCTTATGAGGTGGTCATTTGTCGAACATGTTGAGCCACTCGGAGGGCGCTTGAGATTGTTGCTGTTGTTTACCCTTCCCCTTCTGGTTCAGTTTGTTGCCCCAGGGACTCTTCTGGACTGGACTGGCACTGTCGTTGATCACGTGACTGCCAGTAGTGATCTCAATATCTTCACGCTCCGTGGGCGCAGAGAACTCCATGTTCACCTGGAAAATTTCGAGACTTCAGTTATATCTGCTCTGTTGCACATTTTCAGGAAGTACCACGTGACCTTTGATCATTTTTTTAAAATTAATTGACGTTGACGTTTGAAAGTTCGAGGCTTGATTCTTTTAAAAATAGTACAGTCACGGGACATAGAAGTTAATATCATGGGACATATTGGGAAATATTTGCTGGACTGGTTCTTTTGTTGATTGAATTCGATCATCAGCGCAAAATTATTCATGAAATTTCAGCAGTTTTCTTACGCCGGACCAAGTAACTCTGTTAATTCTGCTATTTGTCATTTTTAGGCAAAATAAAGAGTAAGTCAAGCTCATCAGCTTCCCAAAGAACGAATTTGAGCCCATTAATTCGAATTGCTTATTTTGTTTGTGAGGTTGTTTCCACAGCAAGAACCTGTAAAATTAGTTATGATAAGCTGGCTAATTTACGCATTCAAAACGAGATTTTCCATTATTTGGCCCGGTTTTAGCCCTTTCAAACAATTTCGTCTATCTTTTGTCTAAATTTGAATCCTGTTTCTTAAATAGTTGCAGAGAAAACGAACCAAACCCGAAGAAAAAGTTCGTTCATTTTCTCGTTGAAATCAAAAAGTTACAAATTCTATGTCCCGTGAACGTAGTAGTAGTAAACAATAACAGAAGACACTTTCTTGAATTTTGTTGAAACTTTTACTTTGAATAATCCAAAATGAATTTTGGCGTTGAAAAACATGATAGTAAGAAAAAGCAAAAAAATGAATTAACCATGTCTAGTAAATAAACCATAGTAAATTATTCTTTTCATTGAGACCAAACATTTCGTATTCACGTAGCTGGTCTACATGCACCATCATCAACACAGTCAGACATCGTGAAAAATTGTTCAGTTGTAAAATCTCGAGAAAAATATGGAGTACGAGCCTATGGCACTGGCTGGTCTAACTCAAACATTATATATCGACTGGTTACTTTTTTGGTCCTCTTCTGTCGCATGCGCTGCTGCAGCTCCTTCCGATTCACCACCGAGGCCTCGGGTGCCTCCGTCGCCACCTGGCTATCCAACACATTCATCAGGTCATCAGAGTCGGAATTGTCCCCTCTGGTGCTGCCAGAAGCCACGCTGCTTCGACCTAACAACAGCGAAACGAATAACAAACACTGCCCGAATCATAGCTAAATCAGAGCTAACGAATCTAAACTTTAAATCTAAACTAGTCCTAGGTTTACAGAATTTTTGCTTTAAATTTTTTCAACAGCATCTTCAACAGGCAATGTATTAGAGCATTGTTTGGGCTAATTAGTCGCCCTCGAATCAATTAAAACTCAACTTTAAAATGCGTATGAAATGGTATGATACGCATTTTTTTCATGGTATGAAAATGTATGATAATGGTTTTTTGTGAGCCCGAGCAGCTGGTCAAACGAGCATATAGAAGCAGTGTTCGTAACCAGGATTAGAGATGAGTCTTTGCTCGCTAGATATTCTTTGCGGGCATATGACTAATCGAGCGCCCTAATTTTTTGAGTGCTATATAAAGTTATACAAGCCAAAACCGATATAAAATCAGCTCTAATTACTCAGGTTGGCTTAGTTAGTGTTATGAACACAAAACCGAAACTTCGTAAAAGATGACCCCTTCAGCAAAAATCAAGCCGCGATAGGCTGTTTTTTTTGGAAGCAAGGCAACAATTGCGATATGAGTGCAAGGGCCACGAAAGGCTTTAGAAACATGTGAGATTTGATCTGCTTAGTAAGTGGGAGCCAGTCCAAGTTCCTGAACCTTGCGCCAGTTTGTCTGAACAAAATGATTCAAGTACCCTTTGATTAATAAACCAGCAAAACACTTTCAAGTCCTTGATAGAAACTTTGTCGAAGCTCACGACAATCTGCGATGGCTACAAAATTGAATTATTTTACTTGGGCTGCCGAAACGCGCGAGTTTTTTGGTCTTCTTTTTGTTCTTCTTTTGCAATAGGAAGTAAACTAATTGTACTGTTTGTTCTTTCACTATCGCATGAATGGTAAAAATTTGATAGACTAGCGATAGGCAGACTTTAAATTTTCCATCTGAGGGCCAAATAATTTTAGATTCTAATACGTCTAGGTTCTGGTTCGTTCAAAAAATCTTGAATCATGTAAACAAAAGCTTCCCTCCTTCAGGTGAGTCATGTGGGATTGCAATATTTTTTAAGGTCTTGGCGAATGATCCAAAAGTTTGTTGCTGTTGACATGTTTGTGCAAGTGAATTGTTTTTAGGCAAATTTTTAAAAACCTCAATATCAGTTTCCCTTGTAAGTTCAAAGTTAAGGGGCCGAGGTGGCTCAAGGGCGGATTGCGTTTTCTCTTTGATAGCAAGTTTGACATCAAGAAACTGGAGTGAGCTTGAAGTGGAAAAAAAATATCCCACAGTAATGAATTCCACGATTTGAAAAAAAAGATTTGATTTATAGGTCGTCGACTTGCCCGGCACAAACGCACGCCTAACTGTCGTGCTTTTAAACGTTTTTTTTTGTTTGAATTTGATTAATCTCAAAAAACAATATACGCATGTGTTATGAAATTCGACTAACTTTTCGATTTCAATTTCATAAGGTTTATTTTTGTGAGCCCGCTCGCCATTTTCGTGTACAACCTCATCTTCGAATGTTTTTAAAGACGCTCTATAAGGATTTTCTTGGCATCTTTAAATGATTCTTTTGGCGAAATTATTGTGTTGGTTTCAATTGAAAGTTTTGCCATCAAAAACAAGTCACTGATTACCGCGCTGTATTATATTGAAGTGCAGAGAGGTTTGATACAATAAGAATTGAAGGTTCTTCATGCCTTTCCGTGCATATCAAACTTTTTGATTTTTTAGTTGTTTCGTTTCGGGTCTTATTATGGCTAAATGCGTGATGTTGAGATGTAAACGGTGAAGAGCAAATGTGTTCTTAGTAGTTATTTGTTCACTTTGCAATTTTTTTGCATTATGAAAATTATGACAATGTTTAAATAGTTGCAATTAAAATGTGGGAAAAACTAGAACAAAAGTTTGTATTTGAAAGGTCAAACAAAGATAATGATTTCAAACCAATGGTTTTTGGTGCTACTGATTGTTGTTAATTAACCTGAGCGTTAAATCATTTGAATTTCCATTCTATTGAAAAACGTAGCTTGTTGCAATGCAAATGTAGAATAAAACAAGTATAGATGCATATAAAATAAGCTCAGTTGGCCGAGTGGCCTAAGCTACCATAACGCCGATTATATAGGTTAACAGTTGACGTAGGTTCGAGTCCCCCACCTGCCCATGTATTAATATACTAAAAACGGGGGTTACATCCTATTTTAACTGTTTTTTGGTTCTTATTTGGTTCAGCCTTGATTAAGGTTGACCGCCAAAAAGAGCAATTTGTCTCAAGGACATTACCGACCGGTTCTTGTGGCTAGCTTGCGCCGTTTTGTACCAAAAACGGACGAATGATAAAAATGTTATATGATGTTCAGATCAATAGAAATAATGCCGAAATTAATTTATTGACCGAGTTATTTGACGAGAAATATCTTTTATTAATTTAACGAATTTGGATCAGTTTTGGAGATTAGCGAGCATATTTTGGCGCCCCACAAGGGACCGTTAGTGCCCTGATTGTTTGATAACGACACGAGCTTCACTGAGGGGCACAAGGGACACAATTTTCCAGGGTCAATTTCGCACTGGGCCGTTAACGAGCTGGGACATACAGTGATCCTCTGTGAGAGAATCGATAGAAGGGGAGAATTCAGTGTCGAGATCTGATAGCGAGGTTAATTCGGCGTTCAGTTCAAATAAAAACAGACACAGACTCCCGTGTGCGGGTGACGAGCACCACAATTTCACAGAAGGAGAAGAAAGGGAGGATCAAAGTACTGAAGTGGGCAACAGTGAGAGTCCAGCTGCCGTTCGATCACAAGACGCTGCAGTATTAACAGATGTGCAGAAGAGCGAGTTGTTGCCTGAGGTTCTGATTGAGAATCAAATTCCTCGCTACAAACTACGCACTGAACCTCTTCTCGTCTCCAGTCGGTACTACTGCTAAAGGTACTTTTGCGGGATCCTCTTCCACGTCTGTCCCTCAGGACTTTCTAGGCGGAGAAAAGGAGACGCCAGGTCCGATTGCTGCAAAAGACAGATCAGAACTGTGGTCAACAACAGAATTTCTGCTCGCGGTGGGATCGGTTAGGGCAACAATTTTCGTACAGACGTTCTGTTAGCGACCGAAACTCTGCAGAAACCGGTGACCGCCTGATCTCTAAAACTGTAAGAAGTTTCCAAAACTTTTAAAACTCCAATTGTGCTATAAATTTTATACGATGTCATATATGTTCAAAATTTTTTCGCAAGCTAGCCCCCGGTAATTTTTCTCAATACCTAAAAATTTTGGACAGTTCCGTTGAACTGAAATATCTTACAGTGGGTACATAGACAAACTGACTTGACATTTTTTCTCGATACCAAAAATTTTTAGATATATGTGAACGGAATATTAATCAGTGAAATCGGAACATAGACAAGAGGTACTGGACTAGTTTTTTGGATTGGTTTATGACTCGAACCTGCTGACCAAAATTTTCTGAAAAATTTTGTATAAAAAGTAAAAAAATTGCCAAAAAATCCTCAAAACGTCTCCAGAATTCAGCGAAACTGTGCTGTAAGATGACACCAACCTTATGTTAAGTGGTCTGGTAGCGAAATATCAGGCAAATTAAGTTGAGTTTTTTCATCCTCAGGTTTCTTCCACGTGGGTTGTTGGAACTTAACCAATTTGCCTGATCCCCCACCCACCATTGGTGAAACTGAAAGCCAGTTCGCTTCGAGTAAAACAAAGCCGTTTCAGCCCGTCAGATTATTGACTTCGTTGCGTGACAGTAAAGTTAAGTGGTCAGGTACGGTGATATTAAGTGAGTTAAGTTGAATTCTTTCATCCTCAGGTTTACTCCGTGTGTGTTGTTGGAGTTCAACCGACCTACTTAATTTTCCAACCCCATTGGTACTTAAGCGTAACGAAGCCGTCGCATAGGTCCCCCAAGTGTATGGTACTCATCCTAGGAGCTAGTTCTTTGGATCATGCGCTCCGAAAACTTCCCGCTCCGTCCCAGAAGCGCGTCAAAGATACTTGCTTTACGAAGCCAGGTTTAAGTTTGAACTTTAACGCTAGGGACTCTCAGAAGACAATACAGTACTACCTTCATCATTACTTGTCGCACCGTAACGACTTTGTAATTTGGCACGACGCCATTAATAACTCGATAAGTAGGCACCGCAGCAACAATAACCGCAAGCTGAGTAGTGAGCAACTTGTCAATTTGTTATTAAGGTATAGGACAAACATTTGTGCGATCGTATACTGTAGACGGAACGGAACCGATGATATAGAGGAAAGTTTAGGTTCAACAGGTATTCTCGTTCTCAACGTCGTTAAAGACTTTATCTCTAAGCGTAAGGCTAAAGACCAGGTACTAATTGAGAAGTACAAAGAGCTTCACCAGCCTCCTTCCCTTGAGTTAAAGACTCTCCTCCTTGTAAGGCGTTATAGCGCTAATCTTAACATCCTTAAGACAAGTAAGAAGCGAAACCGCTTACCCCTCAAAGCTCGGAAAGCTATAAGAAATAGGCTTCAGGTAGAAGCTTTGAGACGTCAAGTTCCCCCGTCTTGTAAGCTAATGTTGATTTACTAATGCAAATTTGATTACGTACCAAAACAGTATCTCATTTTATTGATTGTTTTCTATAAGTGAGCATCCGTAGAATATTGTTAATTTGTGAAAAACATGGACGAAAAATTCCAAAGTAAGATACGCAAGTTATTCGAAACCCGTCTAAATCTAGAAAATGAGCTGCTTAAAGGTCACTCATTATTACTTGAGTACATTGAGAATAATAGTCGCACTACAAAAATTGATAATGCTGTTTACAAATGTAAAATTGCGTTGGAAAAAGCTGTCGACGTCAATGAGCAATTAATTAGGTTAGCGGGAAAAACTGAAAATCCTGAAAAAATTATTGCTCAGCAAGACCTTTGGCTTAAGAAAGTAACCGAAATGAACGATAAAGTAATGCACGAAGCCCAGAGTTACAAGATGAGCCTTGAACCTTCGTCATTTCCAGCA